AACCACCAACTGTGATGCTGCATTTATCGAACGACTTAATAGTAAAATTTAGAATTTTAACTGAAATATGATATAATTCCTTACCTTTACTCCCAATCTCTTAATAATTAAAGCTATTTGTCAAATTTCTTTTGACCTACAAACATATAACCTAACCAAAGTTGTTTAAGTAATCCTGTCAGGGTCTGAGATTGCTACAATACAGAAGGAGAAGCAATAAACACACCCTTTGAGACACGTTTTAGAATAACTTTACCATATAGCATTACTCATTATGAACTAATATGTTCTTTAACAAAATATGAGTAATTCAGAATATGGTAATTTCATTGTTTTATTTGCAGTTGCTGTCTTCTTGTTATATCTCCAAAGACATTTGATAGGATGGTACACTGCCTTTTTGCCCCTTAATGTACTAAATGGCCCCTATTTACACTAAATCATAGTACAGCTGAACAACTTGTTTGTTTACTGAGTGAGTTCCCCAGTGTGGGATAAAGGTTCAAGCTCTGTGTGGGCAGTGGTTCCATTGGTTCCCAGTGTAGAAAGACATTTGTGTGGCATGGGGAGGTCGTCCACAGGCTGGCAGAGCAGCAAGAATCGCTGAGGGAAAAAAAAAAGATACAGGAGTGAAGTGAAATCAACTGAGTTGCTGAGGATAAAACATATTGCATTCTTTATTACTAGGTGGATACCAGGACTCATTCTGTATTACTATGTACAGTACAGTGATAGCATACAGTAAAATTATTCTGCTTTGTAAAACAATTTTGCAATTATATTTTGCAACATGCTTTGTTGTTTGCAATTACATAAGCAGAACTGAATTGAATATTCTAACACCCACAAAAAAATATCTAGAATATCACGCTTTAAGCAGGGTGTGGCTTTCTACAGTCAAACCAAATGTTTTTAGGTAATATAATCCCACTAGTGTTTTCTGCCAAACTGTTCGCATGGAAGAGAATCTAAGAAAACAATTCTGCTGTGTGATTCATCCATACCACAGAGCTCTTTATGAATGGAGGAACACAGACTGTAAACAACCTTTTAATAAATGAAAACATAATTTTTTAATACTGTTTACACAATAAAGTAATCCCTCACAACAGCACAAATATTAACTGCCAACAAGCACAAAATTACCATATCATCTATAAGATTTGGTTTTTCCATAACTGTCTATACTATGGACAGAATAAACATACGTATACATTCTCTCATAGGGCTAACTTCTAGTCAATGAATAGGTAAATTAAAATATTTACCATTTGAACCACTGATCTATTGTATATCAGAGGTTAAACATTTTAATGATCAACACAAAAATCAATTAAGAGCCAAAAAAAGGATCATGCTCACCTGCCGAAGAGTGCCTTCTCCCTGCATCATTTTATATATCACAAACAGTGGGATGAGGGAGAGGGAGACAGTGGCAATGAACCAGCCCAAGATGTTGGCCCAGAGTGGATAGACATAACTGTGACTGAACTTCAGCGGGGAGTATTTGACAATAGAGAAGATGAATGTGCCCTGTCATTGGAGGAGACAAAGTGGATTAATATTAAACACTGCAATCTGCAACTCAGAAGACAAGACACCTACCTAAATTAACCCTAACCTCACAAGCTTTTCTTCTCCATAAAGTCATTACGTACTGGACATCTTAAAATGGGGGATGCAAACCATACCATACAGAACAAGTGGGGGAGGGAATGTAAAACAGAACATAAAGATAAATACGTTTATGAGCATGATGCATATTCACTTTGAGACATGCATATTGTTTATTTGATGGCAGTAGTTCACGTTGCGTGTTTGCAGTTTAAAGTTCAACTTGGAGGAATTTCAAGTTAACTCCAAGCCAAACGAGGAAGAGGTAAGGCAAGTGATATACAGATATTACAATGCAGTAAATCCACCATCTGTGTGCATCAGTGCCTGCGATTGAGCTGCACCTAATAATTCTCACTAGGGTGGTTGTGCTACACTCTCATGAATGTACACACTAAATATAATATCATTCATCAAATGGAAACAGACACAAGAAAGATAGTAACACACATGGAGGAAACAAATGTGATATGAATGAAAGGACTGAACGCTTACAAAACAGATGAAGGGAGTGATGTAACTCCAGCAGTACTTCATTAATGGATATGGACGATAACCAATCATGTCTGTGATGTTGCTATAGAAACGATCAGCACCTTTAGTGAAAGGAAAAATATTAGAAAGGTAATTTTTTAGATTGATTAACATACCAAATGTACATACAGTGGCTTTTGCCCAATAGAAACTAGTTTTAACCCAAGTTTCTCATAATCTGAGTAAGAGTTGTTTCTCTTTTTTTGTCAACAGAATATAGTCTTTTACGTGGCTGGTTGTATTGTCTGTGACTTACCGTACACCCAGGCAATGCTGACAGACTGGCAGAGGGAGAGGAGGAGCAGGGTGGTGCCGCTGCAAACATGATGGTCTAACAGCTGTAGTAGGTACATCCCTCCCTAAACACAACAAAGTAACAATAATAATCTATATTATGAAATATTAAATAAATAAAGATAATAATGACTAACCCCAGCCTTTTGCAGCCAAAAGTATTACATATTTTTTTTCTCTTTTTTCTTTCAAGACCTGACCATTATAAATAGAAAAATTATGACAAAAGAATGCAAAACTTGTTCTTTCACTGTAACTGTACCCAAGTCCCAATGAGGGTAGAGGGATGGGGGTAGGGGTTAAGGGATGAAGGGATGAGGGATGAGGGTAGGGGTTGATAGATGGGGGTAGAAAAAGGGTTAAAGGTTGAGGAATGAATGGGGATTGGAAGGAAGGGTGAGGAATGAACAGATGGAAGAAAGGTGGGTTTATTGGCGGATGGATGAATGGACAGAAGGATTCAGTGAGATGGTAAAAAGGAACCAAGTGGGTTGTGAGACTCTGAGTGGGGGAGCTGTGTCTTCATATCTCTTGTAGAGAGACCGAGTGGTTCCTGTATTTGGATAAGAGAGATGGGAGAAAAGGAAAGAAAGGGTTCAGGGGGAGAGGGATGTGGAGGAGGGATAAGGTATGCCTAAGTACATTTTGAGCGGACATGAGATGAGTGCAAGGCGTGGTCTTTGTTCCCGAACCTAGTTATAAAACTTAATTTTATACCAGCGTCACATTATCAAAAAAATGATTTCTTCACAGATATATTTATCTTCCATCACTAAAAGAATTAACAGTATTTTACAGTAAGTTGTGTAATTTTTCTTTGACAGTTCTGCCCCCCAGCTCTGCCACTCCTTAACTCCCTTAATCATGTCTTTGGCTTTTGTACTAGAGATTTAGACGTCTAAGGTGTGAGATATTAATTCCCATAACACTATACATGAGAAGGCTGGCAAGAAAGACGCTGCTGGAGGGTTTGGCAAGCTTTCCTGCTAACCCTCTTGTAGAACAAGAGAGGGAGGTTAAAGTGCATCTGAGGTTTTCATTTTCTGTAAACTAGTGTGCAGTAGCTTGAGTACTTTGACAAAAACACATCTGTATTGAATGGCTTTCTAGTACAGTAAGAACAGTATTCATTGTGTTTGGCCGAGAAACTGTAACCTGGGAACCAGACGAATCTGAGAGCTCATGTTTTATTTGTTCTGGCAGATACATCCAACTTTTCAATTTCGTTTGAAATTCAGTATCAGGGAAGTCAGTGCATTTTGTGAGTGGGACTTTTGTGACAATACCTATGGCGGGGGTCTGGGTCATCACTCCTCAACCCAAAGGACTTTTGTTTTAAAAGTTCAGAAACCACAATTTTAAAGCGTTTACAATCAAAAAGCAGAGTCAATAATGATGGTTAATGACGAATGTATGTCTGATCAGCATACTTCAGACATCATAGTCTAAATTGACAATAGCAAACCTAACCAGGGTGTCTAGAGAATTGTTAATTTTAGAGAACGTTTTCCTGCATTTGGATGAATTTATGGAGTAATTGTGTTGCCAAAAGATGGTGTCGGGAGAACAGAGGGGAAGGGGGGCATTGAACTACACTAACATTGTATGAAAA